TTTTTTTTTTTTTTTTAAGACATTTAAAAGACAAGTTTAAGATCTACAGGAAAACTGGGCATAAAATCCAGTGTCCAAATCCAGCTCAAATGCACAGCTCCCCTGACTGTTAGCATGGAACATGGCAGGCGTATGGGCTGCAGGTGGGCCAACACTCTACTTGGCTGTTGACTGACTGTCACAGTGAACCCTCAGGGTTCCTCCTGGTGGCACACATTCTGTGTGTTTTGAGAAATGAATAATGACAGGTACCCACCATGGAAGAATCATAAAGAATAAAATACCCACTCCAGCCACTGCATTTTTTTTAAGAGTCAAAGCATTGTTACTTTCTGTCCCTACAGGGAAGGTATGATGGTTAGTCTTTGCTGTCAACTTGACAACCTAGAAAGTGGGAGCCTCAACTGAGGATTTCCTCCATCACACTGGCCTATGGCCCTGTATATGGTACATTTTCTTGCTAATTGATGTAGGAGGTCCCAGCCCACTATGAGTGTGGGCAGTGCCATCCCTGGATACATGAGCCTGGGCTGTATAAGAAAGGTATCTGAGGAGGCTGGAGAGATGGTGCAGAAGTAAAGAGTGCTGGCTGCTCTTGCAAAGGACCTGGGTTCAATTCCCAGCACCCACATGGTGGCTAACAACCATCTGTAACTCCAGTTCCAGGGGATCCAGCGTCCTCTTCTGACCTCCATAGTCATTGCATACACAGGTGCACGTACATACATGCAAGGCAAAATGCACACATAAAGTAAAATCAAGGAAGCTACCTGAGCAAGCTGGGGGAAACAGGCCAACCAGCAGTGTCCCTCCATGGCTTGTGCTCCAAGCTCCTGCTTTGAGTCCCTGCACTGGCTTTCCTTCATGATGGACTGTGAGCTTTAAGCCTCTCCAAGTTGCTTTTAGTCAGTGTTTTACCACAGCAACAGAAAATAAACTAGGACACTGACCCCAGAGCAGAGGATTCAGTCAAGGGTGGGCCCCAGGCTGAGCAAGAATGAGACTCGGGAAAACCCACTTCCAATCTTCCGTCTGATACCTCCTGGCCATTGCATGCTAATTCCAGTGAGTGCTGAACCCCATCACTAACAAGAGGAACATTTTCTCAGTGACCCAGGCAGATGGGCTGGGCAGCCTAGGGCAATCACCCAAAATGGTGGGGCAAGGGTTAGGAACGTCCCCTACATCCGGATGAGTATCTTTATGTGTTCCCACATTGTCAGTCATGCCTCAGGAAGAGGGGCAGTCCAGGTAGGGCTGGTGGTGTGTCATGAATTCTAGGACCTCAGCCGCCACCCATGTAAAATTTCCAGGTGTGCACAAGTCAGGGGAGTCCCTGTTGATACAAATTCAGTCTCAGCAGCTCTTTGTGGTGTCATCCGACACATCACTAGTCCTGAGTCTGTGGCTTTGTTTGGAGATAGAGCCACCATGACCCAAAACATGTTTGGTCTGGTTTTGTTCTGTCTTTAATGGGCCCTGGCATTCGAGATATATCAGGTAACTGAGAACTACACTGGACTGAAGGAGAGCCTCTGACCTCTGGTCAGTTGTTCAGGTATGCAGGTTGGGTGGGGCTTGGAGTACTCTGAAGCTAGGCACGACTATCCTAAGACTGGGGATTTTCCAAGCTACGCATAGTGGTGCACGCCTTTGATCCCAGCACTTGGGAGACAGAGGCAAGCAGATCTCTGGGAGTTTGAGGCCAGCCTGGTCTACATAGTAAGTTCCAGGTCAGTTCAGTTGGGGCTACAGGGAGACCCTGTCTCAAAAGACCAAAAAAAAAGGTGAATGTTCCCTCCCTGGAAAGTCCTCATACAAGCATGGATGGTGACCTCCCCACAGCCTGCACAAAATGGTGAGAGTCTCATAACCTTTTATAAAAGCAGAAGCCAGGGCTGGGTGTGTGGCTTAGCTAGAACACTATGCCTAGCACACACAAAGCCCTGGGTTCAATCCCCAGCCCTACACAAAACCAGGCGTGGTGGTACACACCTGTAATCCCAGCACTTGGGTTGTAGAGGCAGGAGGATCACAAGGCCATCCTCAGTTATTCAGTGAGTCCAAGGCTAGCCTGGGCTACATGAGGCCTTGTCTCAAAAAAAAAAACAAACAATGTAGAAGCAGCTGTGTGAAGGGGGTGCCTGCTTCCCATAGGAAGCCTCATCCCCAATTCTGGGAGTCCAGAAAGCCTCTCAGCGACTAATCTTTTCACAAGATTTCTTCACTCCTATGACACAACTAAATGAGCAATCACCAAGTCTTTTCACATGCTGACCATGGGGGAAATGCCCCTGTGCTGGTTAGTTTTTGCCAACAACACAAACTAGAGTCACCTGGGAAAAAAGACTCTCAACTTCAGAGCTGCCTCCATCAGACTGGCCTGTGGGCCTGTCCATGCAGCATTTTTTAAAAATACTTTATTATACCAGGCGTGCTGGCACACGCCTTTAATCCCAGCACTCGGGAGGTAGAAGCAGGCAGATCTCTCTGAGTTCAAGGCCAGCCTGGTCTACATATTGGTTCCAGGACAGCTGGGGCTACAGGGAGACCCTGTCTCAAAAAGACCAAAAAAAAAATACTTTATTATTTTTGTATGTGTGAGTGCATTGCCTGTTCACGTATAAGTGCACCCATGTCATGCAATGCCTGTGTAGGTCAGAAGAGGGCGTCTAGATTCCCTAGAACTAGAGTTACAGACTGTTGTTATCTGCCATGTGGGTGCTGGGAACTGACTGCAAAAGCAGTCAGTGCTCTTAACCACTGAACCATCCCTCCAGCCCCAGCTGTGCAGCATTTTTTAAATTGCTAATTGATGTAGGAGGGCCCAGCCTACTATGGGCCCTACCATCCTTAGGCAGGCGACCTTGGGCTATATAAGCAAGCAAGCCAGGGGAGCATGTCAGTAAGCAGTGTTCCTCCATGGTCTTTGCTTCGGCTCCTGCTCCCAGGTTCTTAACCTGCTCTGGCTTCCCTCAATGATGGACCGTGACATGAAGTGTATACCAGATTAACCCTTTCGTCCTCAAGTTGCCTTTGGTTGCTGTTTAATCTCAGGAATAGAGAATCAAACTAGAACACTCCCCCAACAGCCTCACCCCAAACAGGGTGTCCTAGTAACCTGGAGATGCCACACTGGTCCACGGTTGTTTTCCCTGGGCCTGGGTGTGAGCTCAATCCCCAGGCACCATCCCGGATTTCCTCATAGGGCTTCTTTGACTTGCCTCTGGGTACCTATGTGAAGGAGTACATGTGTGAAGATGTGAGTGAGTGCGTGTGAAATAGGGATGAGGACAACGTGGAAGTGAGTCTACATATGTGTTTCCCTTTCTGGAATGCACTTTGCTTCTCTATGTATTCCATGATCTCTCTACCCTCCCTGTTTCAACACTATTTGAAGTGTCCCACAATTGTAATTTTGGAACATGGGTTCCCCTGCCTCCTCAGAACTCCCTTTTCTAGAAACACAGCATCCACATGTACCTGACTTGATACATACCGGCATCTCATGTACGGTAGGTGCTCTGCTCCCATAAGTCTGGTTACTGGTCCTGTACAGAGAGACTTGGCCCTTGATCCTGTAGGAGAGAAACATACTCAGTTTCCCATTCATTTGAAATCAGCCAAGCCACAGACTTAAAGAACGTAATTAAAGGAGCTTTGTTGGCAATGCCCCAAAGAGAGTAGTGTCCCCAGGTAGCGGTGCGGTATAAATGGAGCTCTCACAGGGAGCAGATTCTCCTGGTAGGCCTGCCTCCTGGCCTCCTCTGCTGGCCCCAAACTGCAAACCCTTACAGAGCACCCAGCTATCAAATGCTGATCCCTAGCCCTAGTGGGGCCTTAGAGCACACTGTCGTTGCCAAATAGGTTAGTGTCCTAGTTCACTTGTGATAAAACACTGATCAAAAGCCACTTGAGGAAGGACAGAGTTTATCTCACTTACAGTTCACAGTCCATCACCGAGGGAAACCAGGGCAGGAGCCTGGAGGCAGGAGCTGAAGCAGAGACCATGGAGGAGCGCTGCTGACTGGCGTGCTCCCCCTGACTTCTCAGCTACCTTTCTTATACAGTCCAGGCCCACATGCCCAGGGATGGCACCGCCCACAGAGGGCTGGACCTTCCTACTTCAATTCAATTAATAATTAAGAAAATGCCTCACAGATATGGCCACAGGCCAGACTGATGGAGAAAATTCCTCAACCGCCAGTCCTTCCCAGGTGACTCTAGTTTGTGTCAAGATGACGTAAAGCATCCTGCACAGGCAGCTATGCTGGGAGCAGCAGCTCAGCTTCAAGACCCTGTCGCTCTTGGGTCCTTCTGCTTCTGAGCCCCACTACAGAGACCAAACTTCTGTAAGGTGGAGAGAAGGGGAAGCATGACCTTGGTCTATAATACCACAGCTACCAGCTGGACAACAGTTCATCCCATGAAGCCTCAGCAAACTGTCCTATGCTGCAATTGGGGACCACAGTCACCATAGACCCGGCCCTGTAGGACGCATGAGGGACCAAAGGCCAGGAATCGGGGAGGTGTCTGCACTTGCTCCACAGAAGTTAAGGCGCTCTCTCTCTCTCTCTCTCTCTCTCTCTCTCTCTCTCTCTCTCTATATATATATATATATATACACACACATATAATTTTATGTGTATGAGTCTATTGCTTGCATGTATGGACATACACCCTTGTCATGCAATGCCCTTTGGAGGCCAGAAGGTGTTGGATTCCCTAGAACTGAAGTTACAGGTGGTTGTTTGCCACCATATGGGTGCTGGGAATTGAACCCAGGTCTTCTGCAAAAGCAACCAATGGTCTTAACTGCTGAACCATCTCTCCAGCCCCATCAGCAGTCAAGGCTTTTATCTATCCTCCTTTCCAAGAGCCAGGCTCCCTGGAAGGCTCGCAGCTGGCAGGGATAGTCAGAGCTTGAAGAGCTGCACCCTGGGCACAGTAAGGGTGTCTGGACCACAGCTGAGCTCTGTAACTTGCAGAGAGACCTCTCCACTCCCCCACCACCCTGCATCCACACACATCCACTTGTAGAGTTCTCAGAGAACACTTCTATGATCCACACTGGTGATAACGACAGATCAAGGCACAGGACTGACCTCAGTGGCCAGAGGCTTGGGAGCTTCTGGGGGGGTCTCACGCACACGCGTAAGCCAGAGTGAGGACCAGCCCCAGCACCCCGCACCACGCTGCATGAAGGTGGCGGCCTCACCTGTAGCCCCGAAACCACTCGGGATGGTTGAACCTGACCGGCAACTGCTTGCTCACGCGGTAGTAGTCACTGGTCTTCTCTGGGGCAGCGTTGGCCTTGGGCTCCATGGGCTCCATACTCTCCATAGGCTCCACAGGCTCCATGGGCTCCACAGGTTTCATGGGCTCCACAGGCTTCATGGGCTCCATGGGCTCCGCAGGCTTCATGGGCTCCACGGGCTCCACAGGCTGCACGCACTCCTGGGGTTTTTCTTGAGACATTTGGCCTCTGCAGGAAACTGGCCCAGCACAGCCTCCAAGTCTGCTGCAGCTGCAGTGGCGCGGCTTCCCGTTGCTAGGCGACCGTGTCACCTTACTGGAAGGAGGTGGATCCTAGAAGGCAGGCTCTTCCAGGATCCGTGCATAACTGTAGAAACTCCTAGAAGTTCTGTAACGAAGGGTTAAGGGTCTAGGAGGAGTCTCAAGCTTCCAGCACCCTGCAGCCCCTCCGGGATGGCCCGGGCCTTTTTCTGGGACTCTTGGGAACATCCAAGAGGAAGCAAGTCCTGAACAAATGAAACCCTAGGCACTTCACCAGCAAATTCGCCACAGTTAGGTGTGCCCGAGCCTCAGCCAAGATGTAGACCCGAGATATTGCCAAGTTTAGGGAATCCTCTGAAATCAAACACTGTTTTTAAAACATTTTATTATTTTTATTTTATGTGTGTGAGTGTATTGCCTGCATGTATGTAAGTGCACCTGTGTCGTGCAGTGCCCGTGGAGGTCAGAAGAGAGCATCGGATCCCCCAGAAATGGAGTTATGGATGGTTGTTAGCTGCAGTGTGGGTGCTGGGAATAGAACTCCGGTTCTCTGCAAGAGTAACCAGTGCTCTTAACCGCTGAGACATCTCTCCAGCCCCCCAAATATTGTTGAAACATTAAAAATTATGTTGGGGAGTGGGAGTGGCGGTGTACGACCTTAATGCCAGCACTGGGGAGGCAGAGGCAGAAGGATCTCTCTGTAAGATTGAGGCCAGCCCAGTCTACATAGTGAGTTCCAGGCCAGCTGGGGCTGCACAGGAAGAAAATTTTAAAGTAAAATTAAAATATGATCTTGGCTGGGGCTGGAGAAAAGGCTTAGTAGTTAACAACACTGGCTGTTCTTTGCAAAAGACCCAGGTTCGAATCCCAGCACCGCCATGGTAGCTAACGACTGTCCTTAACTCCAGTTCCAGGGGATCCAACAGCCTCCAAGGGCATTACACAACACCAGTGCACTTACCTACATGCAGGCAATTCATGCATACACATAAAATAAAAATAATAAATAAAAAATATTTTTAAATGATCTTGGAGCCCAGCATGGTGGTGGAGGCCTTTAATCCCAGCACTCAGTGGGGCAGGAACAGGGGTATCTTTGTGAGGTGGAGGCCAGCTAGGTCTACATAGTGAGACCCTGTCTCAAAAAATAAAAATGTAGGGACTGGAGAGATGGCTCAGCGGTTAAGAGCACCCGCAGCTCTTACAGAAAAGACCCGGGTTTGGTTCCCAACAACCGTCCATAATTCCAGTTCCAGGAGATCTAACACTCTTCTGACCTCCTCAGGCAATGCACAACGTGGGCGTACTTACACACCTGCAGGCAAAACTCTCATACACATAAAATAAAAATAAAAAGTGTGTGTGTGTGTGTGTGTGTGTGTGTGTGTGTGTGTGTGATCTTGGGGGCTATGGGCTTAGCGTCTATTGAAAAGTGACTCCTTGAATGACGTGGTGGTAGTACATGCCTGTAATCCCAGCACTTGGGAAGGTGGAGGCAGGAGGATCAATGGGTCAAGGTCATCTTTGGCTACATAGAGAGTTCAGAGCCAGCCTGAGTTAGAAACCGTGTCTCAATAAAAAGAATATTTAACAAGAAAGAAACACCGTTTTGGACAGCTGCTTTCCTTGGCCCGGTGCGGAAGCCGGCAGCGGCTGCAGCGGGCGCGGTCCTCCTGGCCTGTAGGCGGCGCTGCGGCCCCGCGCACCCGGCGGAGGAGGAGGCGGAGACGCTCACCCCGGCGGGAGCAGTCGACGCCCGCCGCGACCTGGTGCACGCTCCCGCCATGGCGCCCGCCCGGACCGCGCTCCCCCGGCTGCTGTGCGCAGGTGAGCGCCGCGGGCCGTAGGGAAGGGAGGACCGGGTGGGGAGGGCGGGGACGCGGGCCCAGCGGCTTCTCTCCCCGCAGGTGTCCGGTCCGCGCGGCGATGGCCCGGCTTCCTGCGGAAGGCGACCCCAGGCCCGGCTGGGCCAAGCGGCAGGATGCTGACGGGAGCCCCGAACCCTGCACGCAGCGAACCCCAGGACGACCACGGTAAAAGTCAGCGGCTGGGGGCTGGTCGGGGCTCCAAGAAGGGCAGCCCCGAGAGACCCCGGGCCATTGCAGCCAGTCGGGGTGAGGCTGGACACTGCAGGGTTCCAACAGGACACGTCCTCCGGGGTGGGGGGAGGATGAGAGTACCACCCTGTTGGCCAAGTGGCTCCCGAGACCAGTGAGAACCAGGCTTGGATCTGCCCACCTGGTGACCAGTAAGGCTCCTCCTGTTGCTATCCTCTGATTTCCATGGAAATCAAGGGAAGGGGCTAACCAGGGCAACATCAGATTCTGACCCCAGTCCTTCAGTGCATGAAAAGGACTTCCAGATCGTTCCTAGGACTTCTCCTGGCCCCCAGCCCTGAGACACATGGTCTTGAGTGGTGGTGGGCCACACAGCAGGTCCTCCCCTTCTCCCTACCCAGATCTCCAGCGCAAGATCTTGGATTTACCACTGAAACATTCTGACTTCTTCAATGTCAAGGAGCTGTTTTCCGTGAAGAGCCTCTTCGAGGCCAGAGTGCACCTGGGACACAAAGCTGGCTGCCGGCACAGGTAGTTGGCACAGTGTGGGCAGAGCAGTGAGGTCAGGTCAAGGTTAGAAGTGGGGGCAAGGTGGGAGTATTAGCAACACCACCAAGTATGAAGTGGGTATTGAAACCATTCACGGACATGGTGAGACATATCAGGCTTGGGAAGTTTGGCCATCCGAGTGGAAAGGCCTCACAAAAGAGTCAGAAGTGGCCACACACTGAGGTGACTGGAGAGATGGCTTAGCAGTTAAGAGCAGTGGCTGCTCTTGCAGAGGACCTGGGTTCATTTTCCAGCACCCACATGGCAGCTCATGGCCATCTGTAACTCCAGTTCTAGGGGATCCAACACCCTCTTCTGGCCTCTGAGCACCCAGGCATGTTCATGGTACACATACAAACATGCAGACAGTCACTCATACACATAAAATAAAAATAATCTTTAAAGAAGAGACCAGCACTAGGCAAAGTGTCCTGGCTCAAGTTCATGTTTAATGTGGAGTCAGTTAGTCCCCAGATCCCCACAGGGAAAGGACTAGGGCAGGACAGTTTGCACCATACACCTGAGGTGACTGCCCTCCTCCGCAGCACTGGGTCTCCAGCCGGTCACTCGTGGACAAGGTACTTGTGGTCTGTCTGCAGGAAGTAGGTGTGAATTGTGCCTCCCAGTCTGTAGGCTCCCCATAGGGGAGCCTGGATTGCTGATGGAGGTCTTTGGATGGCGGGGGGACCAGGCTTCATGAGCATTGGTCACACTTGCCTTGGTGGGATTTCTGGTAGGTTTATGGAGCCATACATCTTTGGGAGCCGCCTGGACCAGGACATCATTGACCTGGAGCAGACAGCTTCACATCTCCAGCTGGCCTTGAACTTTACAGCCCATGTGGCCTACCGCAAAGGCATCATCCTGTTTGTGAGCCGTAACCGGCAGTTCATGCACCTGATTGAGAATACAGCCCAGAACTGTGGCGAGTACGCCCACACCCGCTACTTCAAGGGTGGCTTGCTGACCAACGCACAGCTCCTCTTTGGGCCCGAGGTCCGTCTGCCAGACCTCATCATCTTCCTACACACGCTCAACAATGTCTTTGAGCCCCACGTGGCTGTGAGGGATGCAGCCAAGATGAACATCCCCACGGTTGGCATCGTAGACACCAACTGCAACCCATGCCTCATCACCTACCCCATCCCGGGCAATGATGACTCACCTCCAGCTGTCCATCTCTACTGCAGGCTCTTCTGCACAACCATCAACAGGGCCAAAGAGAAGAGGAGGCAGATGGAGATTCTGTATCAGCTGCCGAGTGTCAAGAGGGCCGAGGACAGTGGGACAGCCAACTAATCATCTGAGTAGACAAGAGGCGTTCCTCATGACAGGCCACCCTGCCCCTTATACACCAGCTAGGAAGGCCTATTCTGAGCAGGAAACTGCACTGTGCTGGCTCCTGTCCCCATCAGCCATCTTTGGCATCAGGGTCCTGTGTTTCCTGAATATGGCTACCCCAGGGCCGACAACCTGAGCTAATTCTTGGCTGCCTCTTTTCTGGGGACAGTCTCGGGTTAATTGCGCGTCTCACATAGCCTCTCGCTGCCATTAGGACAGGGACCTGGCTGGCCCAGTGGATTGCCTAAAGACACGGTTCTCCCCGCCCCAGAAGCTTCCACCTCAGCAGGGCGTCTGTGCCAGGCAGTCCAGCTCACTTCTTGTCTCAATTAAATTATTTTCCTCCTGTAATTCCAACACTTGGGAGGTGGAAACAGGAGGATCAGGAGTTCAAGACCAGCCTGGGCTACATGAGACCCTGTCTCAAGAAAAAAAAAGACAGAAAAAGTCAGTTTTTTAAGAATTTTTTACTCCTGTTCTGGCAGTCTCGTTTTATCAGGGGCTGTTTTGCAATGTGATGTTGCAGCAGGAATCATGGGGAAGCTCAGCCAGAGCACACAGGCAGGGTAAAGCAGGTAGACAGAGCTACGCAGAAATAGCCTTTTGTCAGTAGCACATGCCCGGGAGCCCTCAGCCTGTAAGTGGCATTTGTCACTTGTGTGCTAGGGACTCTGTAGAGTCAGCAGTGGTAACAGGTATCTGAGGAGGCAGCAGCATGGTGCTTGTCCTCCCACAGGCTGGGTGTGAACAACTGAGTGCCCATCAACTGCATGTCCCTGTTGTAAGGAAGGACACAGCGGTGGGCCTGAGACAGGCTGCAGGTATCCCTTCAGATCGCTAGTGATTCTTGGGATTTTTGCCGCCCACCCTGCTCACCCTAACCCCTCAGGAGCGGTACACAGGGTACTGGGCTGCAACCCATGTATACCAAGCTCTTACAGGGGAGGGGGAGGGTGGGCAGGGCTCGGGGCTGAGTGGATTAGAGGTCACCATACAGAGTGCCTAGGTGCCACAGCTCAGGATGTGAGCACCAAGACCCAAATGCTTGTTCAAGCTCGGTGGCAACCAGCCCAGCTTTCACTCAAAGCATAAGTCTACACAGGCCAGTGGTCTGCAGGGCAGTTAAAGGCCACAAGATTCCCCTTGGCATAAGCAGACGAGGCTCCCTGAGCTGGGCCCTGTGTCACATGGGACTGAGGTTTGGGGAAACTGTGGCCTTGAAACAACAGCGAAGGGTCCCTGGCAGGAGTTGCTGAAACGGGGCTCGGCTCTGGAGTGTTTGCTACAGGGTTCAGCCAGGGGGCCTCACCCGGATCCCCCAGAACCCTTAGGGTTGGGGTTGGAGGAAGCCCTCCAGGTAGAATGTCCATCAACACCCAGCAGGCACAAACCACAGGGCGGCATCCATGCTGCCCTAGGTCTCGGGCAGCCAGAACTACAGCTCCACGGAGACTGCTGGGAGAATCCTGTGTTACTGGGAGGGCTCAGTGCTGGCTGGGAGACTGGGGTTTGGCCCGTTAGGCTGTGCACAGGGCAGCTCACCATCTCTGGGATTTGGAATGAGGAATGAGGGAAAAGAGGGAGGAAATGGAAGAGAAAAAACCTGGAGGGGAAGCCGCCGGGCAGGAGTCGCAGAGCCCACAGCTGGGCCTTGGGAGTGGTACTGTACTGTTGCCTGTTCCATTGGAAGGTAGGCTCTGACTCTGGACCCCCAAGTGGAGGGGACTACAGGATGTGGCTTCCAAGAGGCTGCAGTCACTGAGCCCCACTGAAGGGAAGGTCTGTTCTCCAGAGGCGGGAGGCCTCCGAATCACCAGAGGGGAAATGACTAGGTCCTGCGGGATCCCAAATCTGGATAAAGCCATGCTCTGTCTTCTGCCCAGCAGAAGTCCTGTCCTTCCACTCTCTGGAAAAAGTATCCTTTTTGATACAAGATCTTATGTCGCTGAGGCTGGCCTTGGATAGCCAAGGATAAAAAGAAAAAATTATTACATCCTATATTTTGTGTTTGGAGGTCATGGGGTGGTGGGGGCATGCACATGTGCCAAAGTACATGAGTGGAGGTTATAGGACAAGTTGTCTTTGTGGGAGTCAGTCCTTATGTGGGTTCCTGGGGTTGAACTCCAGTCCTCAGGCTTGGCAGTAGGTGCCTTTACCTGCTGAGCCATTTTACCATTCCAACCTTGAACTTTTATTCTTAGAGAATATCTTTTGTTGACGGGGTGCGGTGATGCATGCCTTTAATCCCAGGCAGAGGCAGGAGGATCTCTTGTGAGTTCAAGGCCAGCCTGGTTTACATAACAAGTTCAAGGCCAGCTGGGGCTACAGGGAGGCACTGTCTCATTAGTCTTTGACAGTTTTTTTTTTAATTAGTAGTGTGTGAGTAAATGCGGTGTGTTGATACCCATGGAGGCCAGAAAGTGTCAGATCCCTGGGTAGATGGGAGTCACCCCCTACATGGATGCTGGGAACCGAACTCAGATCCTCTGGAAGAGCAGCAAGTGTTCTTAACTTGCCCCAGCCCTGACCTTGAACTTTGGATCTTCCTCCACTTCGCCAGTGCTGGAGTTGCAGGCGTCTACCATCAAGCCTGGCTCACATACCTATTTTATGCTGAATATTCAGTTTAAATATTGCTTTTTGTTGTATTTTAAGTCAGGTAGCCCTGACTGTTATGGAACTTGCCATGTAGACCAGTCTGGCCTCCAATTCACAGTGAACTTCCTGTCTTTACCTCCCAATAAAATTGAACTGTTTGTTCATATAACTTGCATAACTCAGGGCACTCAGTCTGCCCCTGTGCCAAACACTGTCTGGACTGTACAGAGTAAAGCCCCACAGCACACATGGGATGGACCTGTGGGAAGGACCTTGTGAACTGTCCTGGCGTTAGTGAAGGGGAATTATTTTGTACCATGGCCAAATAGAGCCCTGGCACCTGGGAACCTGGAGTCCTGTCTACCTTCTGAGGGGAGAATTGGAGCAGGCAGGGCCCACCCCACAGTCAGGGCAACTGTTTGCTCCTTGAAGAGGGAACCTTCACTGTAGGTCACCCTGACAATCGGCCTGTCGACAGATGACACCTATCAGAGCAATTGGGAGGTAGGTATGGACACTAAGGACACAGGCTGTTACAGGCTTGGGTCTCAGAATCATGTCTAGTCCTGGGGGAGTGGGGGAGACATAGGCATACCAGTGCTGTGAGGGCCTAGTCCAGGGACACCCCACTCTGATGGGTGGAGACAGGCTTCCCAGAGGATCACAGAGTTGGAGGGTGTAGGGCTGTGGGAGGGAAGTGGGCAGAGGCTAGAGCTGGCGGTGGCAGTGCAGTGAGAGTAGGAACAGCTGAGGGCCACTCAATTACTCCAAGTGAGTTGTCAAGCAGTCCTCTGACCCCTCCCTTGAGGGAGGTGTAGCAAGCATCCCCCCTGTACTGGTGGGAAAATAGGTTTCTAGAACAGACCCCTCTGTCCTGCAAAGTGTCAGAGCCAGGATTAGACCCTAGAGTCCTTGAGCCCCATAGGGCCCACCTGAGGGGGCTCACAGATGCTGCAGGAGGGCTGTCTGGGCGCTCCAGTTCTGTAAGCCTTTGCTCCTGCTACCCACAAATTAACAGGTCCTGGGCCTGGGTGAGGTCAGGGTCCGGGGCCAGCCCTTCCCACCCCAGCCCAGCCGGCTCCAGGCTGGAGGATGTGGACAACAGGCAGCAGGACCCTGGTCTCAGGGAAACCTCTATGACAGATGGTATTTAAGAAGGATTCCCAGGGGACTGGAAAGATGACTCAGTGGCTAAGAGCACTGACTGCTCTTGCAGAGGACTCAGGTTCAGTTCCCGTGGTGGTTGAGAACCATCCTTAACTACAGTTCCAGGGGATCCAACACACTCATCTGACATCCACATGCATTGCATGACACAGGTGCACTTACATGCAGGCAATATACTCTTAAAAAGCATCCCAGTCTCTAGGGTCTGTGTCGTGCCCCCTCTGTTTTCTCATGAGCTAAATGTCATAGAACCAGGTCAGCCTTGTGAGTTGTACGAATTCCTGAAAAGACTTATGGAACCCTTGCCCTGTGCTAGGCACCTGTTTGGAGCAGGGTGGGGTCTTCTAGGGCTTGGGGTGTGGAAGCCTCCCATGGCACCCCCTGTTGCCTAGTCCAGCAGTGGTCAGCATCATTTGAGGAAGGGTGAAGATCCGTGATAACAACATGCAACAGATGAAGGGCTGAGCACAGAAAGGGCAGGTGCACAAGGCCACCATGCAGGGCCTGGGCTAGGACACTCACTGACCCTGCCCCAAAGAAAGGCTCATTATCCTTGCTCCTGGGATTCATTCATTCCCTCCCTCTCCCTCATTCATCTGTTTAGCAAACTTCCATGCCCCCCCCATGGCATTTAGGAAAGAGCCCAGGTTCCAAAGTCATGTGCCCAGCACTACTGCATCCTCAGTGACCTGGACCCCCATGGTTACTTCCAACTTTGAGTTCATGTTCACTGTATGATGCCCCAGAGGCACCAGAAATCAGCCATTTGATTAAAACAGGCCTGTGTTTGAAAGAAATGGGGAAGTGGTAGTGCATGCCCGTAATCCCAGGACACGGACACTGAGGCAGGAGGATTGACAGGAGTTGTGAGGCCAGCCTGGACTACATAGACCCTGTCTCAAAACAGAAGCCTGGCATGGTTTAATCCTAGCACTCGGGAGGCAGAGGTAGACGCATCTCTGTGAGATTAAGGCCAGCCAGGTCAGCATAGTGAGTTCTAAGCCAGCTGTGGCTAAGGGGAGACCTTGTCTCAAAACAACAACAACAACAAAAAACAGAAAGGCAAGAAAGAAAAAGGGAAGAAAGAAAGGAGACTGAACAGTGCTTATGTTTACGTGGGTTCTAAGTCCAGGCACACGCTGGCTCCTAGAAACAGCGAAGAATAAATCCGGTGTTGATGCACATTTACCACATCACATGGGTTTTTTGTTGTTTTGGTTTCTTTTTTTTTTTTTTTTTTTTTTTTTTTTTTTAAAAAAAAAAAAAAAAAAAAAAAAAGAGGACGATAAATCTTTCACTGTGATATATCAAAATAA